GGATGGATGACTCAATAAAACTTCAGAATGCTAAAGGGAGAAAGAAGATAGGAAAAGACGGGGAGAATTTGGGATAGGAACAGTGAGAGAAAAAGAAAAGACGTAACGAGAAAAGAATTTAAAATAATAGCTGCAACATTAATTTACTAAGACAAGACAATCTTAATTTGTGGTTTTAGTACGCATTACTAAACAGCTTTTGAAACAAGAGAAACAGGGAGAGTTACCCTCGTGCAAGTTCCAAACTTGATCTGGATTTCTCACTTCAACGCTTTTGTTCAGTCCTCAAATACTTCACACGGTCCTGTGCTCGGGTTTACAGATGACAGTTTTACAGGCTGAGCACTACTTTAGTTTCTAATGCTTCACTTATATCAATTACAAGACAGCTAAAGGATTTAAAAAACTAATTCAGTAACTGAAACTATCCGAATGCTGAACACAATCGCTGGGTTTTTACTTTTATTTTTACAAGACATCCTGATTTCCCTGGTAGTCTTTTTCTTTCCAGGTTGCTATGCTGAACAACTCATTCATCGTCCCTTCTTTGAAAAAACAAATCATCAGCTGAGAGTGAAAAATAGTATTTCTCTCTCATCTACCACTATTATCAGTAATATTTTCAGTTGTGGCAGGAAATTCATGTTCACAAAACTAAAAAGCACCAGAGCCTGTATTAGAATAGCCGAGCTAAATCTTGAGAAACACGAAATTTGGATCAACACTTCATTCAGTCATTTTTTTTCTGTCTTTTAAAAGACACTATCCTCCTGAACCTGAAGGAAGAACACCACAGCAGAAAAAAAAACATCCTCTGGGTGGTGAGCCTGTTGAATCTAGAGGTATTTTCCTGGCAGGGAATCACTGCTGACATTCTCTGATGAAGAGTTCCTAGAACTGCACCAAGAGGAAGTTTGTTAACATATGGTTTTGGACTCTTTCTTTCCCCTAACCTTGATCTCTTTCAAATAAGGAAAATACCTATAGGGAGGAAAGCTATGCACTGGAAATGAAGACAAAAATCCACTCATCTTCGCTGGAACAAATTCTAATATTAGTTAGCCTCTTCCAGATTAGAAAAACAAAATGAAACAAAGCACAGAAGCTGGGAAAGACAAGACAGAAAAAGCTAAGAAAAGAGTGTCCTGAAAAAAAGACAACTAGAAGAAAACTTTTTCACTATAAAACTATTACATTAAAATACAAGTTGGAAAAGAGAGTTTTGTAAGGAAAAAAAAACAACCCACAAACTAGACAGCATAAAACCACTTCACAGAAAACCAGGGAGAGAACCCTCTGTGTGTGATTTCCCTTTTACAATTCCATCTCAGCAAAAAAGGAGTATTTAAGGCAGGACACCAGGCCATGTAAACTCCACAGGGATTTATTTATGGCTTGCTTTCAGCACTCAATCTCCCATAGTGTCTCCCGCTGGCAGCAGGCTGATGATTCAGGACAGAAGCAATCACAGTAGAATAATTAGAAAATCAAGGACACAGATTTGCATAACCACAGTATCATTATTAAAAAAAAAAAACAACAATCCCAAATTGAAAAATAATGCAATTTTATTCCCTAAGACAGGGATCGATATAAAATGGTCATTAATAAGAAGAGGAATAGTAACAATGAGAAGTGGACACCTCAAGTCAGACACTGGAGATTGCTTACATGGAAAGAAAAAATAATACCAGCAATTTTTCAGCACCCCTGCACTCCACTGGGTTAATAACATTTCAGTTTATTGTAAAGTTAAATACCTTTTACAGAAAAAGTGGAAGCTTGCACTGTTCATGACTTCTCAAAGGCCCACTGTTTAGAGATTAGCAAGAGGTTTTTCCAAGGACAGCCCAAATTTTTTTATCTAATAGTTCAACAGTAGCCCAATTCGGCCTCTTCTGTCAGCTTCTTAACTTGTAAGGCTAATAGATTTAACTGAAAGTAGTCAAACTGTTCAGTGGAAATAAGAGGCAAGGGGAAACAAGACTGATACAAGACACATCTCCGTCTAGACTGTAAGGGAAAAAAAAATAAAAGGAAAAGCTTTTTGCCATTTGCTGTTAAGAGTTACATAATAGAGTCCTTCCTGCATGTGTCTTCTGCAAAACAGCACTATGATAATGTAATAAAACTCAACAAAATAAACTTAGAATTCTGTTTTAAGCTGAATGCTCTTATGTAGCCATTAGTTTTAAGGTTAATTGTGACAGTTATTTGCAATGGTTAACAATGCAGATGTGTAAAAGTGAGTTTTTAGAAGCTTTAAATCGGAGCTGGATTATCTATCATAATTGTTTCAAGGATGACAAGGAACTAATCCACCTTGGAAAATGTCAAACTGCCGGAATAAACATCTGCAATGCATTTAGAGAGAGAGCCTTTTAAAAATTGATTTTTCTACTTTTCTGAAAGTGAAAAAAAAAAACACATTAGCAGACTAAAAACTGGGGAAAAAGGTTATTCAAGAAATATCTAAACTTACTCTTAAGTATAAAACACATTCGAGTGGTTGCTAACTGTATGTTCTTGAGAAACTAAGAGTAACTAGAACTTGGTTCAAGATAGCAAGGAGGATCAGTGGTAGAAGAGGGCTCTTTCATACAGTTTGAGGAAAGCAACCACATGGTTAATGACATAAAAGCATAGCTGGGTCCTAGAGCTTCAATTCCTTTATAAAAAGCCATTGTGGACTGACTTCTTATCACCAAAAAAAAAAAAAAAATCTTTCAATTGAATTTGAGTTTTCCCTTGAATAAGAAGAATGCAGTAGCCCAATACGACACAGCATTTACAAGAGGAACAAGGTATTGATGATTTTGTCTCAGTAGGACTTGAGAGAGTACTTTAGGGTCTCTGCACAGGAAGAAATTGTCCAAATGTCCTATCAAGCCATAACACCTGAAGCAGAGGAGCAGATATCCAGAGTGTTATGGAAGTGCTTTATACTGCACATAGGTAATGGTAGGCTATCAATTTTCTTTGCTTGTAGAACTGAAACCACCCCGGCTGAATGATTTAGGTAGCTTCTTTGGATGGGAATATGTGAATCTATTTGTGTTTACAATACAATTAAGGTATATTCATTATTTTTCTCAGAATCAAATTAAGAATACAGTTATTTGTCCCATAGCTGTCCTGTACAATTCACAATGTTTTTTTTACATTCGAGCTATCTTCCCATTTTAACTGTCAGGACAAGGATCACAGGAGAATAACTTACCCTCTTAATTATTTCCTGAAAAAGAAGAAATTAGATTATAAAAATATATGGTCTTATGAATTGGGCTCAGTGTCCTTATGCAATGTTCCTTGATACCAGCTATTAAGCACAGTCCTCTCTAAAACAGAGTGAGCAATGGTTGGCCCAAAGGAATTACAACAAAGAGCTGTCATGGCAGTGCAAATTAATTGTATGTTCGTCTTTTAGCTAGCAGTGCCTCTTCAGATTTTGGTCAGCCTCTGCACCCGCTTATACTACTGATATACTCACTGCTTAAAGTGAGGAAAGCCATCTCAGGGGAAGCAGTAAAAGCAGTACATTTACAAATGCTAAATAAACAGACACATTCCCTAATTAACCGAATTTCCACAACTGGCTTTTCGTAACCTATTTGTTATCTGCTCTCCCAGTTGGCACGACTTTTTTTCTTGAAGTAACTGTAATAATGTCCTCCACTGCAGCTGTCTACCTACAAACTAACATCACCATCCACTTGCTATAACAATGTCTGGCAAATCTTAGCTACAACATAGTCCTCGGCTCGTTATCTGTAACGCACTGACCAAACGTGAACCTGCAATTCACAACAGAGAATTCAAATGAAAGGGTCCTTCAGGACTTCTCAAAGACTCACCCACTGCATGGTACACTGAAAGCAGCCTGTGAGACTAATTAAATGTACACAACTATCTGCTGGCTATTGTGCTTTGCTGATGCTGAATAACAGAACTGTTTATTTTGTGTAACACAATTAAAAAGCAGAGCAAACACGAGTCTAGATATGCATATATTTCACTTACATAGAGTTCTCACATGCATTAACACCCACCTTGCACCCACACAACAGAAATACTAAACAGGTCTTAACTGATGACTCAAAGTTTGATCACGCATTCGTTTGAGGAACTAGGACAGAGTTCCAAACTACAGCACAGGCACTCCTTCTTTTTCCTGGCTAGGTGCAAAGAAACAGCTAGAACTCCACAATCCAAGACTTTATAAAATCATGTTGCCTTTTGTCTTGTTCTAATTTTATAAATAGAAGTGTTACCGCTGTTTCAGTTAGTGTGTTTTGTGTTTCTTCATCACCCGCTCTTCTAAAATCCAAAAGTTAACATCAAATTAATGTTCCTCTCAACAGTGCAGCATTTATGCTGTCACAACTAAAATAAAGGAGGCTTGCAATGCAAACATAACCCAAAGATTCTGCTCAAATTAACCAGCTTGTTTGTAACAGAGGATTATTCTTCTGAACTGCAAACTCCTACCAATGTATCACCTGTGATTAGCAATGAGATTAAAACAAAAGATGACACACTTCACTGGTGATATAGTCTCTCCATTAGTTTTTATGCATTCCTATGTTCCAGGCATATCATGCATCTGTATTTATCACATTAACACCTACAAGCAGGGATAACTGATATGTGAAAAGTTTAGCTGTTAATTTTTTCACTGTTATACCAGTTTAACGGCACAATTACTGCTAGGAACTGTACTGAAGCAGGCTAAGTCTTTAATTCCTAGTACCTGTTAAAAAAAAAGCCAACAGCACTGTTACTGCACGTAAATGAAGTTCAAAATAAGCACCAGAGCCTGAAAGTTACTTTCTGATGGGCTTAGCATGTAACCTGGTTTGCACGGACACAACTTCACAGCTCTTGCTGAAAAGCAATTCACAGAATTCAAACTCAAGACTTGAAGTTTTCTGTGTAGACATGGCAAATTTCTCTAACACTGAGTGTTTAACACCACCTATATAAAAATGAAGTAAGATTACCTTCTTCAATTGAGTTTCCATCTTCAAACACTCTTCTTTTTTCTGCTCCAATGCAATTTCTAGCGTCTTGAGTCTTGAATCTTTCTTCAGACCTGATGAAGCTAAGGATGAAGCATGTTCCTTCAGATCCAGTAAGGATGACTAAAATAAAAGACGTAAAATAACTATCAAGTAAATACTCCTTATATGCAATAGCTAATTTCTTTTTTGTCTTTATTTATTCTTCCTATCCCTTCACACTGTGTTCAGGGTCCAACTTAGAGCAATGTATTTTGTCAGGATGTTCATGTCACTGACTTGATAACTTGATTTAATTCAGGTTCCCAGGATCAAAATAAAACCTTGTCTAAATTAATTTTAAAATAATTTTTAAAGACAGAACATTCTCGAAACTAGAACTTGTGTTTCAGTGACAGTCATGTATAAGAAAAATTGGTTTTAAAGAAAATCTTAGTTAAAAATCATATATGGGGTTAGCATATTTGGCCATTGTACCTAAAATCCAGAGCGTTCAAAGCTTTTCTGTATACAGTTGCTGTGAGGTGAAATCAATTCATGCTACCTATCTCCAAAAGATATCTCGACTTCTTGTTTTCTGAACCATTTTTGTGTTGTTTTTTTCCTGTCAAACACTGATTTCCTTGTAGACAAAATCTTAGCACTTTCTGGGCGCGTATTTTTTGTATTGTTTTACTTTGAGTTTTGAAAAAAGATTGTAAGTAGACTTGAATGTTACAATTCCAACAGAGGAGCAGAGAATATTTATATTTCTCTGATATAATGAGGTTAACTTGTCTAGCCAACTGGTTCATTACCAACACCATCTTAATTATTACAAAAAAGACTCTTCAGAGTCTAAAGAACCAGTTGTACTGTTTGCACAAAGGAATAAACATTATCTGCACACTTTTGGCACCCACGGTTTTGATCAACCTCTGTCCTTTCCTCCCTATATTTAGTCAGGAACAAGATTCTTCTCTGCCTTCAGTTGTCTATGAGCATCTTTCCAGTAAACGCTATCATGGGCCATTGGTCATTCCCTACTGATACCACTAACTGCTGCAAACAAGGGGACTGTGTGCTATCCACGAAAAGAATAAATATCTGAAATATTTCTGCTTTAAAAAATTCTCAAACAATGCATTTTACTAGACAAACTTGTTGAAGGACCATTACTATAAAGGAGCAGTTTTCTTCATCTCAAATATAACACATAAATACACAATAAACAATTCTGAAACTACAGATTCATTCTGCTAGTCAACCTCTTTCTCTGTGAGATCTCCTTGTAAAATGCTGACTTTCTCTTTCAGATCCTTAATGTCTTTTTTGTAGTTGTCGATCTCTTCCTGTTTTTCTCGTTCATCTCTGTCACGTTGCTCCTTCAGGCGCTCAATGGTCCTTTCCTGACAAAAGAAAGCACTCTGTGAAAAAAATCCCTCTTAGTTCAACCTCTGAGACTTCTCATCTCAACACTTCTTGCACATTGTAGATGACGAGTGTAGGTTATTGCCATTTTCTTTACAGTTGTAAAACAGATCCTTAAGAAAGAGGAAACTTGAGAAATTGATGGATTCACTGCTAAGAGATAACAGGCTTTCTGTATCTTCTAAACTTCACAGTCATGTTACAATGCAACACAATTTATCTGGTTCCGATAATCAAAATTAACCTACACATAGGATACATTCTTTGCTTATTTGAATCTTATTTTTCCAAAATGTACAGATAAGTCTGTGGTCCTTCAGAGAGAAAGAGGTGTAGTGCATATGTGATACTAGGATTGGTATACAGTAAGAAAAAGCAACAAAAACAACTTTTCTGTACATCGGATACCAACAGAGCTTTGGTTACCTTGGAAGCTGAAGGGACACAAGCGAATTCCCCAACCTCAGGCAAAGCTTTACCACAGCTTTACATTTACAGAACCTGGCAGACTAAAGGAGCTGTAACTCTGGTTCTCTGGGAATCAAGAAAAAACGTACAATAATTCCAAAAGTTTGCCCTACCAAAACAGAATAGACAAAGCTCCTCCCTTAGTTCTCCTGAGAACTGGACAAGCATAAAAAAATGTTAGTTATCAGGAGATAACTATTCATTTTGATCCAATATCACAGAATCACAGAATGGTATGGGTTGGAAGGGACCTCAAAGATGATCCAGTTCCAGCCCCCCTGCCATGGGCAGGGAAACCCTCCACTACACCAGGTTGCTCAAAGCCTCATCCAACCTGGCCTTGAACATTTCCAGGGATGGGGCAGCCACAGCTTCTCTGGGCAATCTGTTCCAGTACCTCAGCACCCTCAGAGTGAAAAATTTCTTCCTTAGATCTAATCTAAATCTCCCCTCTTTCTTTAACACTGTTGCCCCTTGTCCTGTCACTACGTGCCCTTGTAAAACGTCACTCTCTGGCTTTCCTGCAGCTGAAATGTAAGGCATCCCACCATCGCACCAAAGCTGCAGCATGAAAAGAGATGCCTCAGAGATGCCTCATACACCCAAGAAACAGGAAAACACACAAAAAATCTGACTCTAGCGAGGTTATTCGAAGGGAGGGAGGGACTCAGGCTTTCCGTACTCACTTTTTCTGCCAGTGCTAACACGAAAAATCCGACTCTAGCGAGGTTATTTGAAGGAAGGGAGGGACTCGGGCTTTCCGTACTCACTTTTTCTGCCAGTGCTTCTTCCAGCGTGGTCAAGGCAGTGTCAGTGTTTGTGGTGTCAGCCTGCAAGGATTTCACCCGATCCTTTAAACTGCTCATTTGTTTCTCCTTGTCTCTTAACTGTTCTTGAAGGTTTTCAATCTTAAAGAGGAGGAGTAAATTTTAAGAAAATAGCAAGCAAACCCACTCAAAATCATCTTATGACTATATTAAACTCTTTGAAATACTCTTAAACTAAAGGAAGTAGGCAAGGGGCCCCGGTTCCTATAATCCTACATCAAAACATCAAGTGATGCAACCGAAACCATGGAACATTAACACGGAATCAGTAACCTTTCCAATACTCAGGAAAGAACTCAGAGAAAGAAAGTCTAAATAACATATACAAGAACAACACAAAGAAAGGGTATTATTCCTCATTTTCGAGGATGCTGGGCACTGCGTGACTGAAAGATGACGAAAGTATTAACAATTATGAAAGGAAAAAAGCTGAGAAAAACATTACTGCACATGTAAACAAACAAACAAAAAAGGCACTTGATAATTAAGAAGTTGTGAAGAAGTATTATTTTAAGTATTTCCTTTGGTACTGTCATATTCTTTACTGTGCTGGCACGTGGCTTTTTCCATCCTACACGGTGGTTTGCCATTTGATGGACTAAGACAAAGCACCACTTCTTGGGTAGAAAATACACCTGCCTTGTTTTCCACAGGTGTAGAATTTGATCAGTTTATGAGTTCTGAATATATCTTTTGACAGACTGGAAAGACCTAACACTAAACTCATTTTAGGCATATATACACATCACAAGAAACAGACACGTTAACATTATGATAACCTGTAGAAAACAAATTTCTCAGCAAAGAATCAAACTAGATACAGATTTCTCAGCTGCTTCCTTTTTGTTGTTGCTGCTGACAATTTCTTCTTGCATCAGGAAACGTACATCAGACACCAGTGAATGACAGGTGGCATGTAAGGTACCCATCTCCTAACCCCTTGCAACAAGATACTCTTTTAAAAAGACATTTGTAAGAAATCATGTAACAAGACAAAACCCAAAGGCTACGCAGTACAGTATTGAGCAAACGCTTTGAAGTCTTTTTGCTTCACCTACTGAACAGCAGTTAGCAGCTCCTCGGTTAGTGGAAACACAGCAACTATCCCCAGGTTTTGCTTTTCAACCCTGGAAGAACTGAGCTGCTGTGATTACAGAGCAAGTGGCTATATAGACACAGCCACTACTACTTTGCTATCTCGATTAAAATTACATCTGGATCACAGGTTTAGAAAAGGGTCTAAATCTGAATTGATAAATGTGAAAGATTTCGCAGAAGGCTGAACATCTAGTCAGAAAAAAATCATTGATGTGTTACAAGGAGCAGGTCAGCAATTCAGGGAAATCCTTGCTAATGTTCCTCTGTAGCCCATGGCCACTGAAAGAGTCTCCAGGCATAAGATTGTCCATCCCATTTTTATTTCTCTTATGCAAACACAAGTAAACTTACGATCCAGCTTTGTACACAATCCATATATTACTGATAGCAGCAGAATTATGTTACCTTTTTTGATGGTTTTTAAGGAATGACTAAAACGGGTTTTCATTTATCTTCATCATTGATTTCTCTTAGGAAAAAAAAGCATTAAACCTCCAAGTTATGCTTAAAATTTAAATCTGAGCACAACACAAATGACACTACAAAAGAAATTTTAGAGAGTATCAAAAAACAATAACCAGTGACATCTCATGTGAGTCAGAAATAACTGTAAGACTTGAAAATTCCTTCTTTATACGCTCATATCTATTATTTAATGCCTTATTAGCATACGTTTGTCACCCATGGAGCTTCAGAAAGAACCCTACTAGATCTGATTCAGTCAAGTTCAAGTTCTCCTGGTGCCAACACATACAGCCACGGAGGAGGTAACATCCCCAAGAGTAGCCTACGTGGCTGCTTTTGACCTTAAGAGCTTTCAGTGTCGTCTACTGTCTAGACAGGCTGGCTGTTCAGACAGCCAACCATGAAAACATACTACAAAGAAGGCTGAGCTATTCTTAGACTCGTGTTTACTTCTGGAGGTGAAACACTCTCGCAAAGGCTCCAACTGGCTGAAGAGGGGACAGTGCAGGGTGACTTTCTTCTGTGAGTAAACCGTACACAAGAGACAGCTAAGTAATTCAGCTTCAGCATATACTAAGATGCTTGCCAAGGTAGCACAAGCAAAGTATGGATTTTCATGTTTCAATAACATTATTTTCTACAAGTAGAGTAAGATCATAGAATAAGATGGTTTGGGTTGGAAGGGATCTAAAAGATCATCTAGTTCCAATCCCCCTGACATGGGCAGGGAAACCCTCCACTACACCAGGTTGCCCAAAG